CGTGTAGAGCCAATGAACCACTTTGGGTTTAAGCCCCCACCTATCACCAACAACGCGTCTACAAGCCCACAATGAATTGCGAGCCTTGTTAACCTCAAACTAAAAGTGCTCTTTCCAGTTCAGTTTACAGTCCAGGATAATTACTAGATATTTTACTGATTGGGATAGAACTAATCCAGTCACAAAGAAAGTCGGCACGGAGACAGCCGCACTGCTGAGCCTAACGAGGAGTTCATTCACCACGAGACTCCATAGTAAGGGTGACAGAACTCCGCCCTGTAGACAGCCACGAGCTGCGATGCCGCTGCAGCTTACCTCATTCAGCATAGCTGTTGCTGCCCGACCCTCCATTGTGGATAGGACCTAATCTACTAGGATTGATCCAACCCCGCGCCTAACCATGGCATGTCTGATGGAGTCGGTTGTAGTGCAATTAAATGCACCTTCAATATCCAAAAAGACCACGAGTGCCACTTCTCGCTGATCTAGTCTTCTTCAGCCTGCTAACCAGATTGTGTCCCTACACAATCACAGATCAGTCGATTTCCCAGCTTGGTATTCAAACTGATTGGAATGAATGCCACACCTCTCCAGCGGGCAATCTTCCTTTCCAATGTCTTAAGCACAAAAGATGAAAGGGTATTCGGACGAAAATCCTTCGGGCCAATGTATATAGCTCTACCCGGTTTAGGAATAAATACCACTTTAGCCTGCCGCCAGCTTCTAGGTGTGAAGCCCGTGGCCAAACATGCTCGAAACACCTTCAAGAGGTAAGGAACAACCGAATCCCGCCGATGCTGTAACATGGCCGGGAATAGACTCTACAGAACCAATCTTTTGTATGAAGCAAACGAATCGATCGCCCATACCATGCTTTCGAAAGTAACAATCTCCATTACAGTGCGCCAGGCCGCCCTTGAGGGAGTCAGTTTTCCTCATACGAAGCCGTCAAATCCCTGCTCAGAGACTCTACGGCTGTTTCTATATTAGGGCTCCTACAAAGGCTGTATGGGACCTCTCCAAGCTTACTATCAAGGTCTGCCCTAAAGGACGCCCAGTTAGTATGCCTAGGATTCCGAGCATATTTATCCGGAATATCTCCATCAGTCTTAAACAGTATATACCTGTGATCTGATTGAGGGGGTGTTAGAGACGCTTTCCAGTCCCTAATCTCTTGAGCTAAATTGAGTGTTACGTCGATAACCTCTTCTCTGATATTGTTACTGAAGGTTACCGTCATTCAGAACCTCAAGGTTCGATGACCCTAGGAACTCCATGAGGTCTTCGCCCCGTCTGTTGGTGTTTGAGCTGCCCCACATGACGTGGTAAGCATTGCTGTTGCATCCAATCACGAGGTCGAGTCCAGAATCTCTGCAAAAAGCGACAAGGCCCCCAGTTCCTTAGACGGAGGAGGTTCCCTTGAATCGTAAGGAAGGTAACATAAGATCAGGTCCTTGTCAGCTCCTTCCTTCTTATATCTAATTCTAACTGCAACTAAGGCTCTGGAGGTAAATTTGCCATGTATTAATGCTAGTCATTACGCAAGCTCTGGGCTTAGTGTCCGGAGTATCGCTAAATAGCGTATATCCCGGTAAACTGAGCCCGCTTACTGAACCGTTCCTCAGCCAGGGTTTCCACGTCATGGCGGCCTCGAGAGATCTCCTGAGTGAGGGCCCTCGAAGCCGCTATGCAGAGCTGTAGTTAATCTGAATAAAATTGAGACTCACCATGGATGTTGAGAGACCCCTTCTACGTCCTCCCGGATACCGGTAAGGATGCCCTATTCGGGCGTACTGCTGTTGCCGCCACAGTCTTCCCTGTCGCAGCCGCCCTCGTCTCCACTTACACGGAGGAGTCATCGAACTCGATTGAAGATACTTTCCTCGTCCGAATCGCTGTCATCGGCCTCTGTGGCATGGTTTGAGGCCTCGTGGCCGATCTGCGGCCGTGGGAAGGTGCAAGGCTCATTACGATGAAGTTTGGTGACCTTCCTGTTTACCACCCCGTGATGGCCTGGTTCCGAGGTCCCAATACGGGAAATGAGGTAATGTCGTGGAGGCTCAGGAGACAATCTTGGAACCTTTCCCAGCCCGTGGAGGCTACTGGAGAGGAGGTAGGAACCCAAATGCATCCGACTTGTTCTCTCAGTAGATTCCATTAGCTGGAAGGTCATTTAGAGCAACGGCAAGAGGTTGTGCTGCCGAGGAAGTTTGGGAGTGTTCACACTTGAGCAAAAAGTAAGTCAGCGACATCTGCCGGCTCCAACCAGGGGTCTGGCCAGCCCAACTGCGACCAGGCCCCTTCATAGGGGATGGGTCAGCCGGGACAGCTCTCGCTGGAACCTCCGGATGTTACATGAAGACGGCGGGTCCTAGCGGGGTATCCGCAAGAAACATTGTGGAGAGCCCGGCGATTGAACGTGCCCTAGAGGGGACTCGGACGAGGATGGGATACTAAACCGAGCCCGAGAGCCCCTTCCTGGAAGCGGGGATGAGGGCGGCTGCAACAGAGGTCTGTGGCGGCGTCGGCCATATGCTCGAATAGGGGATATATACCAGTCTTCGGGAAGGGGCCTCTCAACGCCTATGGTTAGTCTTAATTTCATTCAAATTAACTTACAGCACCACATAGCGGCTTCGAGGGCTCTCACTCGGGAGAACTCTCGAGGCCGCCATGACGTGGTTTTCATCCAGTTAGCCTACCTGAGAAAAGGTTCAGTAAACGGGCTTGGTTTACCGGGCTATTCGCTTTTTAGCGATAGTCCGGACACTAAGCCCAGAACTTGAAAACATGAAAAATTTACCTTCAGAGACTTAGTTGCAGTTAGAATTAGATATAAGAAGGACGGCCCTGACAGGGATCTGGTCGTATGTCCGAACATACCTTCCTTACGATTCAAGGGAACCTCCTCGGTCTAAGCAACTCCTTGTTGCATATTGTAGGGATTCTGGACTTGACCTCGTGATTGGGTGCGACAGCAATGCTCTCCACGTTAGGATTCGGTTGTTCCTCACCAGTTGAAGGTGTTTCAAGCATGTGTGACTACGGGATTCACACCTAGAAGCTGGCGATAGGCTGAAGTGGTATTTATTCCTAAACCCCGAGTTAGATAAGCTCACCCGAAGGATTTTCGTCCGATTACCCTTTCATCTTTTGTGGTTAAGACATTGGAAAGGATAGTTGACAAATCTTTGAGGGATGACTCGCTGGAGAGGTGTGTCATTCATTTCAATCAGTTCGCATAGCAGCTGGCGTTACATAATCTGGTCGGTAAGCTGGAGAAGATTCTAGATCAATGGCACTCGTGGCCTTTTAGGAGATACAAGGTGCATTTATACGTAATTGCACTACAACGAACTCTATCAGACATGCCTTGGTTAGGTACGGTGTTGGATCAATACAAGTTGATTGAGTCTTATTTGGAGGGCCGGGTAGTAATAGCTATCCTGAATGGCGTATGCTGCAGTGTCAGTGTTGCTCGGGGCTGTCCGCAGGGCGGAGTTCTATCACCCCCTACTGTGGTGCCTCGTGGTGAACGTGCTCCTCGTTAGGCTCAGCAGCAATGTGGGCTTGCAGACGTGTTGTCGGAGCGAGTAGGGGCTTAAACCCAAAGTGGTACACTGGCACTACACGACTCCCTGGTTTGGTGGCCTGGCATTGGAACCGAGACAACTAAGGCCAAACTCAATAAAATTCAGCGTTTGGCTTGTATTAGCATTACAAGCGCACTATGGACCACGCCATTGAGTGCAATGGAAGCTATGCTGGATCTCCCACCGTTGGATCTAGTGATCCGCGGAGAAGCGAGAATAGGTTCACATCGACTGTGGAGTCAGGTCAGGTGGGCCTTCTTGAATCGTGTCAAGGGTCACACTGCCATCTTAGTCGAACTGCAAAGGGAGGATTGTGTCCTATCTGATCGCCCTTAAACATCGCTTCAACCGCAAGGTTGATGTGGAGTATCCAACGAGAGCGGAGTGGGACTCCGGTACGGAAAAGGTCTCCGGAGGGAGTGGGCAGGTCTGGTACACGTACCGCTTGGTCACTGGCGCCAGTGTCTTTGTACCCTGAATTAGTCGATCTCTGCTTCTTGGTGGAAACACCACTATTCTTCACGCCGAAATATTTGCGATTCTAGCTTGCATATCACGAGTTTTGGAGGGGGAGAGCCTAGGTGGAGAATAACAATCTTCTCCGACAGCCAGGCTGCAATGAAGGCACTAAGTGCCTGTAGGATTACCTCGAGCCTTGTACTGCAATGCAGGGAGGGTCTGGATTGTCTAGAAGCGAGACATCCAGTATCGTTAGTGTGGGTACCGGGGCATGCTGGGATAAAGGGTAATGCTAGGGTGGACGCTCTTGCGAAAGCAGGATCAACCAGCAAGCTCGTTGGTCCTGAGCCAGCCTTAGGGGTGCCCGCGCAAAGCGTTAGGGGGAAAATAGATTGCAAGACAACACTCAGAAATCAAGCAGCATCTCCAGACATCTCCGTCAGACACGAAAACTCATCGTATGGCCCAGCGCTAAGAATGGACACTTTTGCTTATCCTTGGATAGAGCCAACCTAAGGTAGCTGGTGAGAGTGTTGTCTAGCCATAACACGTTGAGACGCCACCTGCACGTGATGGGGGTGACTGAGGATCTTTTGTGTTAGCGCTGTGGGGTAGAGGAAGAGACCTCGGCGCATGTTCTGTGTTTTGCTAGAAGGACGGGCTTGAGGTTTAGGGAATGTAGGGGTACATGAGCGCCCGTCTAAGGGCCCTATGCACCGGCTCCTCATGGTGGCCGGTATGCCTCTAATTTCATATTTCATTCTTTGGTTCACACAAACTACACAAGATCATATCAGAAAATGAGTTCTACAATTGCAAAGAACATCTACGGTCACTGGCATGGTACGCGGCAACACAAGCTGCTACCGAACACTTTCATCATTGTACTAGGGAAATTTCATAGCTAATTGTTATCTAAGCTGTGGCAATACTGTGTTCGGTGATCTTAATGAGCTAACTGTTTTCTATGAACATCATGTGAGGTCCCAATTATTTGCTACTATGCTGTCAAAAGTTCGTCGGATTATAGTGCCGTAAAAAGGTTATTTACGAAGAACCGATTAAAGGTGCACGCCCAATGAGGAAAAAGGAAGCGATTTGACTCGCACGAAAAGGTCAACCAATAATGTTCGACAATGAACCCAGAAGGAGGCAGGCAGCTGTAAGTCAAGCATTGTCGATTGATATCGCGCATTCAAATCGCTTCCCTCCCCTCAATGGACGTGCACCATTAGGGAGCTGTGTCTCCAATTTTGTTTAGGTTTTTGTAGCATAACTTCTTTGCTTTTTATGAATCCGAGTGATTGCCACCTTATTTTGGGACACCCTGTATGCAGGGTGGCTTAAGTATATAAATAGTTCTACTACTGTCCCTCCTGTACCAAGGCTTTTGTTGCAAGTCTTGGGAGATGTTATCCCAAAATATTAATATTTTTGGGGTAAAAATATTAATATTTTTGGGGTAAAAATATAAGGGTTTAAATGACTTGCTGCCAACGTGTGTGTGAATCTCGAATTAGAATAGAATTTCCATTCTCCAGTTTTATCGATCAGATATTTTTAATCATTTCAAACGAATTCATGTCTTGTATGTTCATCGTCTTGTTCACTTTGCAGTAAATACTAACAAATCGTGTTGCAGTTTAATAGTGATATTGGAGCGGGGTACATTCTCGTACCACAAGAAATTTCTATAGCTTGTTTAGCCTTTGAAAGGTAATGTTCAGCAGCCAGTTTAGTCATACCAAAAATATTGGATTTCACAACTGCTCATCTTTTAAATGTTTTTTCGAATCTGTATTAAAACATCTATCACACGTACCAACAACATTTGCGTAGAAACATATAAAAGCCCAAGGTGTAGACAAAAACTTTCGATTACTTGCGTGTAATATTTCAACTTTTTGTCAATAACTTTGCTTCCACATTTACGTAAATAAGTTACCGCCAATAATACTACAACTATCGCCAAAAGATTCGATTCTTGGAAGTGTTAGGTGCCAATATAGTTTTAAGAATCAGGCAGGTAACGGGTAGCAGGCGACGGTTGACAATGTGTTTATACTTTTTACGATGACGGCAGCGGTTTGCAGACCTAAAAAATTTAAATAGTTTTCATCGGGGTGTCGTTCGGATTTTATATATATATATATATATATAAAGGAATGCTGTATTTACCATCTCAGTGCGTCAGCAACATAGCGCATTAAATCTGTACAGAAACCTCAGGATTTCAGGGAGTATCCAGAAAGGTCCATCGGATTTATGCTAGTATTATTTGGGTTTAGTTTAACAAAGGTGCTAATTACTCTTGCGGAGAGGATCTCCCGCCACCAATGTAAAGTATAAACGGGTATTTTGTGAAGGGATTAAAGCTCTACACACTCCTAAACTTGGTGATCACAGTTGGACAATGCTGCCCTTGGTAGGACATTTTTCCGTTACAAAAATTAACTTGACCCTTAATTAAAATTTGATATACATTATGAGAAAATTATAAACAAGATTAGCAGCAAAGTGGGATATTTATCAAAAGCTTCTGGTTGTCCGAGTTCATATAGGAGAAAAATTATCTATTCTCCCAAATTTCTTGTACTGTTCGAATATTCTAACTATTCTATTATTTATTCCAGTTGTGAAAGACTAAAGTGCATGAGACTAGTATTTGTATAAATATAAATATACTCCAATTAAACATCTGCTTAGCTAGTTAAAATCGATGAATGTGAAAATTTTTGAACTTAAGTTGTTTATAATTATTTTATTTATGTAGCCAAACGTGCTAAATAAATCTTTCTACTACTACTACTACAAAGAAAGCAATGCAAACCGGTACAAGTGACACCGTCTGTCACTTACCACCCGCCATTCGTCGCCTGCCACCTTGGAGTATAACCGCGGTCTCAAACTGGATGTAAAATTCATGGTAAAACAGAGCACCTTTCTGTTAAGAGAACGCACATAGTCAGATAGTTTTTGGTCACACCTTGTATATTCGCGTTTATGTTTACCTCTCCTTGATATGCGGAAGCCCGGTACCATCGAGGTTCCTGTCGTTCTTTTTCCAGCGGGCTTATCCTAAATAAGGAAAATTGCACTGATTAATCGTTTTGATCGAATCACCTTTATAATAACGATAAACACTTCATGGAAAATGTATCTGTATGATGTTTGTTTTCAATAATGTATGAGCCTAATCTGATCAGTTACAAAAGTAATCAAAATACCCATCACATCACATAAATCTGATTGCTATTGCCTATTATAAAAGATTTACGTCTTAGACTCTAGTTAATATATCTTGTAGATACTGCCGCTATTTTGCTGTTTGCAACTTTTCTCATCACCTAAACACCTACTGTACTTTGTCATTTATGCATATTATGCTAAAAGTACTATTGTTGAATTCTAGTCTAGAGGTTTGGATTTAGAAATCATTCAATCAAATTAATACACGAGAACGTTTTATTTTTGTGGCAAACATTTGGATGATAAAGTTAAACCACTTTTCTTTCGATTGATATTAAATGAGGGTGAGTAAAATGTGTTAAGAATGGATAATTTTGACATTTTTAAATACGCTCCAGCAAATTATGAATGGCTTAATGATTTCTATAATTCTAAAGACATCATAAAAACAGCAAGTGAAGCCATGGAAGGTACCAGTCATACCTGTCAATGTGAAATATTCAATTTGAAAAAACTTAATCTGAGTACAAACCTAAACTACCGTAGAATATCACAGTATGTCCCAAACACTTAACTATCCTAACTAAAAGTTGAAAAGATACATACCTATTTTAATATCTCTTTAACTATCTGTTCCTATCCTATATAACTTTTTCTCTCTTCCTAACCCATACAAATCCTACATATTCAGATCTGTTCACTATAAAGTCACTTATTTCCTGTAAACATATTTCTCCTGCGATTTTTGAAATTGACTAATATTTTGATAGTTACTGAAACCTAGAGCATTTTTAAAAAAATATATCAGGTCAGTTTTTCTACATTTCATTTTTTTGCTGATTTTGAGATTGTGTTGTTAAATATGCAACAAAACTACAAAATTGGATTCAACTTTAAATAATGAGCCATAGAGGAAAAGTCAGAATGCCATGTAACAAATTTTTTTGTTGTCAACATGTTACGACCAACCTTATTTATAATGGTGTCCCTTACCCTTATTATCAGATACAGTTTTTTTGTCAAACCATATTTATCAATATCATGCGGCAATCGCTTGGCCACAAAAAAAGCTCTTGTAAAACCAGTTATCACATGACCACTAAATTATAGCAATTATAATCAAAAATATTTAAAATAGGAATTTCCTATCAAATAAAATTATCTCTTCTATCCCTTTTAATAACCTAATGCAGTATGTATGTCCACATACCTATTAATATACTGCAAACCATGATTCAAATTGAATGAACTTTCAATAACCTATTTTTAACCAACATCAAGGTTGATTCCTAGAGACACAGAAATTGTTGGAATGACATGTATAAACAAATTTTATCTGCTATATTCTTCAACGACGCCTATATATTTCTTCACCGCCCCATACTATGTATGCTCCTAAATGTATCTAAACTTAAGATGAAAGGATAATACTAAAGAACTATCAAGACGAAACTTCCTTTAATAAACTAATGTATTTAAAAATAATACAGATGTAAATACAATCCTATTATCTAACTCCCAAGACATTTGTTGACAAGACTAAAATCTAACCTATTCTATTGTTTATTTATATACTCAACACATATGATTATTGTGTACAAGAAATTTGCATGAGTTCTTGGTATTGCACAACGTCAAATCCTCGGTAAAACGGCTCAACCAAATAAAAAATCAATTTGAAAGTGACATGAATTCTTAAAGAGTGCAATACCCTAACCTTGTCCATGAAAATTAGAAATAAACCGTCTCCATCTACTTTAAGTGGGTATACAATGTTGTCTATGCTGGAATATCCATTTAAACAAAATTTATTTCACTTGCACCAATTTGCCAAATTAATTCTTTCAAACATCCTTAATAACAAATAGTGGCGAAGTGGCAAACAGTTTTTGTGTGATGTTTGCCAAAATTTTGATGTTTTGTTACCAAATTGAACAATAAGGAATTTAAAAGACTGAATAACATGAATGTTTATTCATCGTTGAATGATCGATTTGTTCAAGTGATGATATTAAAACCGTTAACGGCCGGAACACTCGAAGATTTTCATCGTCTAGAAAGGAAGAACTTGAAAAGCAAAATAATTTTCTAAAGATACACTACAGATACATATACATATTTTTCAAATAAAAATCCAACACTCTTCATAATACTGATATAAGAAAATATTTTGATAGCTACTTTTGTGAGAATCTATCTACCCTTCGACGATAAATCGATAAAACTTTTCTTGAAATTAGATCTTGTTTAAATGGATTCTCCAGTTAAAATGACTCAATTAACCGAAATCAATACGAACTAATGAGAAATATCTTAAAGCACACCTGACACTGTGATAAATAATCGCGATGATATGAGCAGTGTGCACTTACTTTTGCAATCTCTTAGTATCTCCTGTTGCCGCCATTTTGATATCCACCACCATAGCCGCCAGTATCTATAATAAAAGGACTGTCAGTAATGCACGTCTAAACAATACTATTGACACTTCAAACTTATAAAAAATATTTACCCCTCCAGCAATTTTTTACTAGATCCAAAAATGATCAGAAACTTTTTGCTCATACCTCCGCCGCTACTGGACCGATTTTAATAACCTTCGTATTTTTTCCCGACATGTAGTAAATAATTCAAGCAGTAGTCTTTGTCATAACCTCATTGCTACTGATTTCAAAATCTACAAAGATTTTTCGCCCACGATAATTGGTAATCTTGTGAAACATCAATTCCGAGTAGCCCAGGTATACAGAAGCTAAGACGGACGGAAATGAATTTAAGGTCTTTATAATATCCTGTAACATCCAAACCGTCATGCTTCCTCGTCAATTGGCGCAAAAGGATTAGTCAGTACTCACTGTAAGGAGCTGGTCTCTGCTGTTGGTAGTTGTTACGCATTGCATTTCCACCATATCCTTGCTGATAGTTGTTTCCAAACTGGTCACCCGGGCCATTCCAAGGTGCACCTGGAAATAAAAAGTTAAGAATTGAAAACAAAATTTTGAAGACGTTATATCAAGAATACCAGGTACGATGAGGATAATAAAATATTGCCTGACCCACAAAATAATGTAAGTCAGTTTGCTCAGTGTTTTAGTGGTATCTACAAAAACATGTCTCATAAAAAATACCAGTGGTAATATCACTTGTCTGTGTAGTTCATCTAGGCAAATTAATCTAAGCAATATCACAGAAGATGATATAATATGAACTGCAAACGAAATGAAAAATAAAATGACGTCAGGTTATGATAATATTCGTTTTTTGTTAAAGATTGTGTATGTGACCTAGCTCAACCTTTTAAGTGTATTATATAGTTTAGTAATAAGAACTCTTATGGGCCTACCACACGCGCAAGCTTCACCACACTCTTCCTGCGCAGGTAAGAGTGTGGTGAAGCTTGAACACGGACATGGCGCCCACACGGCACAGTTAAGTACCCGCAAGCCACATTCTTGTCAAAATCATCGTCCTGGAAACAATGTTTCCCAATGAAGAACTATTTCTTCTGTTGTTATATTTTAAGGTTTTGTTAATGAAGAAAAATACTCTGCTAAAGTCTAAACGAAAACGATCGAAGTGGAAGAAGAAATGGCTATTGAATAGAAAAATGAATTCACATATAAATCTACTGAATGATTTAAAAGATGATTCAAACGACTAGCGAAATTATTTTTGGATGGGTGAAAATGACTATAGTGAATTTTTTATTACGCTTGGTTACGCCTCTCATTCAATGTCATGGAAGTCTGGCCGCTACTTTACGGTTCCTGGATACTGCATTCTCTTTATTTCTGTCTGAATAATCCTTGCACTTAATTTTCCAGAGCGCTGGTAAGGAATTGTATAAATTATCAATTCCGTCGTGAACTCGCGATTATCGCGCAAATCTGCCATTTTGTGACGGACGAACGCGTACCTACCAAACGACAACTAGGCTCGACTGTAACTTGAACACTTAACACCCAACCACACGCACAGGCAAGTACGGGCAGGCCGGGCTTGCACAGACAAAATTTCAAACAAATCAAAACTCGCGCAAGCCACGCTCCGAGGTTTGCGCAAGCCAACGGAACGCCAACCACACGCACAGTGTTCCATGTATAAACCGGCCTGCGTAGGTAAAACTGTGGTGAAGTTTGCGCGTGTGGTAGGCCCATTACTTTTCGTGATAAATGGAAGTTGGCCAAAATCATATTTATGTAATAGTTCACAGTACGTACAGTACCGTGCAAAAGTGGAGAAACATTTTATTTTTTTAAAGTTTTTATGAAACCATTAAAGTAAACTACTTATGTTTTATTATAACTTAATGTATCATGTAATTCAAAGCCAACATGAAAATAAAATGTCGGCTTTAATAAGACTATGCTAACAATAATTATTATTAGAAAATACAGCGAGCAAAAATAGAGAAACAATATACAAGCAATTGTCGTATACAAAGAAGCTAATACTTGGTGGCATAACCTTGGTTTTCGTTAACCGCTAGACATCTTTTTCACATAGAACCAATTAGGCTATCTATTGTTTCTTTTGGAAGAGAATTCCAGGCGAGTTCGATTGTTTCAAATAGTTCGGCACTATTTTTGAACTTTTCTGGATGTTCAGTCCGAATTTTTTTAAGGGCTGGACTCTGAGCTGGCCACTTAATGACATTAATATTGTAATCTACAAAATTTTTTTTGTCATTTTCGCTGTGTGCTTGGGGTCGTTGTCGTGCTGGAACCGCCAGCGTAAAGGCATTTTTCTTCTGCGTAAGGGAGCATGGCATCAGTTAATATTTCCAAGTATTTGTATCGGTCCATAATTTCTTCAATTTTGACGGTGGGTCCCATTCGAAGACCACAGAAGCAACCCCATACTTGAACCTTCCCGCGTCCGTGTTTGATTGTGTCCAAAGTGAACTTAGGATCAAATCGCTTGTTCTTAGGACGTCTTACCCATAACATGCCATCCGGTGAAAATAAATTAAATGTACTTTCATCAGAAAATAATACAGAATTCCACCTTGTTTCTGACCAGTTCAAATGATCGTAAGCAAACTGAAGACGGGCGGTCCGATTTTTCTTGGAAATAAAGGGTTTTTTAGATGGTCTCCTTATTGATAAATCAGTCTCCCTTAAACGTCTTCGAACAGTGTGGACACCAATATTTACTTCTTCAAGTTGAGCTTTTATGTTGACAGCAGTAGTAAATGGATTTTTACGAGCAAGTGTTTTAATTTTCCTATCAATCCTAGATGTGGTTTTTCGCGGTCTACCAGTCTTAAGAGGGCTTACCAACGATTTTCTGAGGCAGAACAGCTTAATAGTTTTGCAAATTACCGATCGGCTTAAATTCAGCTGTTTGGCTATGGTTGCTTGTTCAATGCCTGAGCGATATTTTAAAATAATCAATTCTTTTATTTGCAAATTCAATGTAATTCCTCTGGCCATGTTTTTGAACTACACTTTACCAAATACACTCAAAAATAACATCTATTCTAGTCACCGACTAAATATAAACTAAATATTTACAAAATGTTTCTCTACTTTTGCTCGTTGAACAAAGAACCCACCATATTATATTGAAAAAAGGAAGAATGTATACAAAGATAAGCATTTCATTATCTTGAGGTAGTCATACATAAAAAAACTTTAGTGTACAGTTTTGCGCGTCGTAGTGAAGCGGTCGGACGACACGACGGCATATCGCTACATCCTTAGGCGCGATGCACACTGAACGGACGTGAGGCGAGGACGTGGCACAGACTTATGTCAATTCAGCGTCTCTCCTATATAATTGAATTGTCCAATGCACACAGCGGCAACGTGGCGCTGGCGGTCGCCATCGCGCCCTTGCCACGTCTTCTTCCAGTCTCTTGTGGCGTACAAGAACAGACACGTCCGTTGCACGACACTTGTTGCTTACTTAAAACTTTTTAAAAATGCGAGACGATATTGAATTTAACATTCAATTTTGCGAGGAAATTGAAAAATATCCATGCTTGTACGACTACAGTCGTTCAGATTATTGTAATAGGAGTGCTCAGGACCAAGCGTGGCAGAAAATCGCAAAAAAATTTGGTGTTCAAGGTAAGTTTTAGTCTTTATTACTATTTATACACAATACCTATCCTGATATGGAATTGGGGCACATTCTGATAAATACATGGTTAGGTACTCTCTGATATTTTTTGCATTTGAGTGGGTCAGGGGTGGTAATTGCAAAATGGAATCACGGTGAATCATATTGTCGTATTGGGGCGTTGTGAATGTACCATTGCATTCTTTTATGGCGTTATGCAAAACACACATTGCTTGAACGAGTATATCAACTTTATCAGGCGTACATCGTATGGGTGTGTTTAGAACTGCAAATTTAGCAGCCAGCATTCCAAAAGAGCATTCCACAGACTTTCTTCCTCTGGACAATCTGGTATTAAAAATCCTTCTATTGTTAGTGGTTAATTCTCTACGGGAAAAAGGCTTCATTATGTTTTTCTTTAAGGGGAACGCTTCATCAGCTGTAAAATAAAACGGAATCTGCTTGACATCTCCAGGTATGGGACGAGGTTGAGGTAAATCAAGATTACTGGACTGTAATGCTCTGCCAAAGTTACTGTTCATTAATGCTCTTCCATCACTATTACGTCCGTACTCGCCCACATCAACTGTCACGAACATGCCATCTGCATCTGCTACTGCGAGTAAAACAGTGGAAAAAAAGCCTTTATAATTAATATAGGCGGAACCTGATCGTGGTGGAGCTTGTATTCTGATGTGTTTACCGTCTATGCTGCCGATACAGTTAGGTAGATTCCACAATGAATGAAAACGGTCTGCAATTTGCATCCATTTCGCTGTTGTCGGTACAGGCATATATTTAGGTTGCAATTTTTCCCAAATGACTTTAGCAGTTTGATGCACTACCGCTCTGACTGTAGAATGTCCTTTTACGAAGTAATAGGACAGCGCTTTGAATGAACATCCAGATGCAAAGTATCTGAAACAAAAAAATGTATCATAATGAACTGTGAATCCTATTTTAAAAGTTTTTGTTTGTTATGAATCGTAATTATTTATGTCATGTCTCCATTGTCATTAATTTGTTTTCCTTGTTTCAGCGATAGAGTGCAAGGAGCGTTGGAAAAATGTGAGAGGACGCTATACAAAATACAAAAATCAGTCAAAACTGCCCTCTGGATCAGGTGCTAAACATATTAAAGAATACTACTTAGCTAGCCACCTTCGTTTTTTGGACTCTTTCGTGAGGTCACGTCCAAGCAAAAGCAACATTAAGTCTACACAGGAGGAAGCAAGAGAGAGTGAAGAAGAAAATCAAGATGAGGATATGGATGAAAAGTTGGATGAAACCAAATCTTCTGGGAAAGATACACCAAGTACAAAAATGCCTCCTCCACTCCTGGAACGGAAAGAAGTTAAAATCATCAACTATAGATGATGTAAACCATTCTGCCTACAAGTATTTTGAGGCAAAACAACAAATGATAGAACGGAGACAGCAGAGTACCGCTACAAGTCAGCCTGATCCCGATATGGCATTTTTGCAGAGTATTTTACCGGACATGAAGGCAATGGATGACAGACAAAAACTGTACTTCAAACGGGAAATATTGAACCTAACCGAACAAATACGATATGCGCAGCCTGATCATAAAGCGGGATCCTCAATAAATGCTCAATCAAAAAGCTCTTCAGTGAATACTTTATCAAGGGATTCCTCAATACAAACCATTGAATGCACATCACCGAAGTCAATCGAAGACGACGCCAATGGGGGAGAGCGATTCTTCAACATGCAGCAACAAATTGAACAGGAAGAGGATTACACTATGGAGAGGTACCTGAGTTTTCTCCCAAAATATGGTTCACATCCACAGAAATGAAGACAAAAATATGTTTTCTGTTTTTGAAATTTGTGAATAAATTTATTACTAAATTAATTCATTCAGTTACTTACCTTAAAGTAATCAGTAGTCTCTCTTCTGGGCAAATTGGTTCCCTAAAATTGGTTGATCTCTTTTCAAGGCCTTCTTTTACAAGTGCCAATACATTATAAAAACACTAACGGGACATCCTATAAAAATTCTGGAATCGTTCTGGGTATGTGTTCAGTTCACGCATAACGTCGAATGTTCCACACGTTTTCCCCTTCTTTAGCCACAATGGATGCACCCAAAATCGTCTGGTTTTCTGCATATTACCCAAGTAAACCAGATCTAACATATCTTCATCATCTTCATCACTGCTTGAGAAATCCATTCGTTTGTGGCCCTTAAACTTCACCTCGATGTTCCAGCGAATGTTCGAAATCTTTCGTTTTCGTGACTATCCCGCTCCTTCTGTGTGCATTGGCACACGTCACGTCTCCGCAACGTCTGTGCCATGTCCTTGCCACGTCCTCGCCACCGTCCCCCCAGTGTGAATTGGGGCTTAGGCGCGATGCACACTGAACGGACGTGAGGCGAGGACGTGGCACAGACTTATGTCAATTCAGCGTCTCTCCTATATAATTGAATTGTCCAATGCACACAGCGGCAACGTGGCGCTGGCGGTCGCCATCGCGCCCTTGCCACGTCTTCTTCCAGTCTCTTGTGGCGTACAAGAACAGACACGTCCGTTGCACGACACTTGTTGCTTACTTAAAACTTTTTAAAAATGCGAGACGATATTGAATTTAACATTCAATTTTGCGAGGAAATTGAAAAATATCCATGCTTGTACGACTACAGTCGTTCAGATTATTGTAATAGGAGTGCTCAGGACCAAGCGTGGCAGAAAATCGCAAAAAAATTTGGTGTTCAAGGTAAGTTTTAGTCTTTATTACTATTTATACACAATACCTATCCTGATATGGAATTGGGGCACATTCTGATAAATACATGGTTAGGTACTCTCTGATATTTTTTGCATTTGAGTGGGTCAGGGGTGGTAATTGCAAAATGGAATCACGGTGAATCACATTGTCGTATTGGGGCGTTGTGAATGTACCATTGCATTCTTTTATGGCGTTATGCAAAACACACATTGCTTGAACGAGTATATCAACTTTATCAGGCGTACATCGTATGGGTGTGTTTAGAACTGCAAATTTAGCAGCCAGCATTCCAAAAGAGCATTCCACAGACTTTCTTCCTCTGGACAATCTGGTATTAAAAATCCTTCTATTGTTAGTGGTTAATTCTCTACGGGATTAAGGCTTCATTATGTTTTTCTTTAAGGGGAACGCTTCATCAGCTGTAAAATAAAACGGAATCTGCTTGACATCTCCAGGTATGGGACGAGGTTGAGGTAAATCAAGATTACTGGACTGTAATGCTCTGCCAAAGTTACTGTTCATTAATGCTCTTCCATCACTATTACGTCCGTACTCGCCCACATCAACTGTCACGAACATGCCATCTGCATCTGCTACTGCGAGTAAAACAGTGGAAAAATAGCCTTTATGATTAATGTAGGCGGAACCTGATCGTGGTGGAGCTTGTATTCTGATGTGTTTACCGTCTATGCTGCCGATACAGTTAGGTAGATTCCACAATGAATGAAAACGGTCTGCAATTTGCATCCATTTCGCTGTTGTTGGTACAGGCATATATTTAGGTTGCAATTTTTCCCAAATGACTTTAGCAGTTTGATGCACTACCGCTCTGACTGTAGAATGTCCTTTTACGAAGTAATAGGACAGCGCTTTGAATGAACATCCAGATGCAAAGTATCTGAAACAAAAAAATGTATGATAATGAACTGTGAATCCTATTTTAAAAGTTTTTGTTTGTTATGAATCGTAATTATTTATGTCATGTCTCCATTGTCATTAATTTGTTTTCCTTGTTTCAGCGATAGAGTGCAAGGAGCGTTGGAAAAATGTGGGAGGACGCTATACAAAATACAAAAATCAGTCAAAACTGCCCTCTGGACCAGGTGCTAAACATATTAAAGAATACTACTTAGCTGGCCACCTTCGTTTTTTGGACTCTTTCGTGAGGTCACGTCCAAGCAAAAGCAACATTAAGTCTACACAGGAGGAAGCAAGAGAGAGTGAAGAAGAAAATCAAGATGAGGATATGGATGAAAAGTTGGATGAAACCGAATCTTCTGGGAAAGATACATCAAGTACAAAAATGCCTCCTCCACTCCTGGAACGGAACAGGAATAGTAGTGCCAGAAAGAAATTAAAATCATCAACTATAGATGATGTAAACCATTCTGCCTACAAGTATTTTGAGGCAAAACAACAAATGATAGAACGGTGACAGCAGAGTACCGCTACAAGTCAGCCTGACCCCGATATGGCATTTTTGCAGAGTATTTTACCGGACATGAAAGCAATGGATGACAGACAAAAACTGTACTTCAAACGGGAAATATTGAACCTAACCGAACAAATACGATATGCGCAGCCTGATCATAAAGCGGGATCCTCAATAAATGCTCAATCAAAAAGCTCTTCAGTGAATACTTTATCAAGGGATTCCTCAATACAAGCCATTGAATGCACATCACCGAAGTCAATCGAAGACGACGCCAATGGGGGAGAGCGATTCTTCAACATGCAGCAACAAATTGAACAGGAAGAGGATTACACTATGGAGAGGTACCTGAGTTTTCTCCCAAAATATGGTTCACATCCACAGAAATGAAGACAAAAATATGTTTTCTGTTTTTGAAATTTGTGAATAAATTTATTACTAAATTAATTCATTCAGTTACTTACCTTAAAGTAATCAGTAGTCTCTCTTCTGGGCAAATTGGTTCCCTAAAATTGGTTGATCTCTTTTCAAGTCCTTCTTTTACAAGTGCCAATACATTATAAAAACACTCACGGGACATCCTATAAAAATTCTGGAATCGTTCTGGGTATGTGTTCAGTTCACGCATAACGTCGAATGTTCCACACGTTTTCCCCTTCTTTAGCCACAATGGATGCACCCAAAATCGTCTGGTTTTCTGCATATTACCCAAGTAAACCAGATCCAACATATCTTCATCATCTTCATCACTGCTTGAGAAATCCATTCGTTTGTGGCCCTTAAACTTCACCTCGATATTCCAGCGAATGTTCGAAATCTTTCGTTTTCGTGACTATCCCGCTCCTTCTGTGTGCATTGGCACACGTCACGTCTCCGCAACGTCTGTGCCATGTCCTTGCCACGTCCTCGCCATCGTCCCCCCAGTGTGAATTGGGGCTTAGCGCTCTGACAAGACGTAATTTATTGTTTGAATCTTGGCGTAGACTGTTGTATGGTAGAATATAATAATTAAAATCGAAAAAGTTTTTTTTACGTGCCGATTCCACAAATCTTTTGAAGGTGGACATAATAATGGTAATGAACTTTTCAACAAATAATCCACTTTATGTCAGTACGGAAATACGAGGATCGAAGCTCGCTTAGTAAGTAAATAGTATGATTTATTCTATACAGCTCTGATAACGTGAACCCATTTTTTCAACCCTTTGCCTGCGACTATACCATACTGTGGACTTACAAAAGTGTTTTGAGTCATCAACTTTACGTAGGACGCGTGATGTCAGTGGCAGGGTATTATGGATGATCTTATTTGGCTTTATTAATTTTATAAATAGAAGAAAATGAAAACATGTTCTGCATGCAACAAATAATTTAGGATGACCCAAACTCCAGCGAATACGTTTGATGAATTAATAAATTCAATATCGCGCAATGATCAGAAAATCAAGTGTTTGAACTGAAATTTAATCCAACGCCAATAGGAACAGGAGTAGAATCAATGATTCGTCATTCATTTTTGGGTTTTGTTATTTGGCTGTTGTCATTATAGGTCTGGAAGAGACACCTATGGAGATGAGGCGATTGGTTATGTGCAGTAAACAGAACGGGATATCTGTATTGTAAAAAAGGATTACGCCCGAACATTGAGTTAAAAGCAAACCGTATCATTGCACTTTTGAATGCGACGAAAAGGAGGAAACAGTAATCAAGCTACAATGCAGTGGTTGCGCTGCACAAGCATGGTGTAGCACACCTGGTGTGTGGAGTTCATTGAACATATTAAAAAAATCCAGTTTTAAATAGGGAACACAATTTTGATACATACATTGTCTTTCTTTTTAAAACCCACACTGCACTTTTTTTGTATTTAAAGGTGTTCAAAATGTCGTCCTCCACTTTCCACACAAGCTTCATTACGACGAACCCAGTTTCTTCTTACTCTAGGTCCTCGAAGTTGTCCATTTATTATTTCGGCCGCATTAAAAATTTTTTGGCGAAGTTGTGCTTCAGTTGTTATTGGACCAGCCCCATAAACCATCCCTTTAAGTTCTCCCCAATAACAGAAATCCATCGGATTGAGGTCAGGAGATCTTGCTGGCCATTTTCGAGGATCAGGAGCATTTCGACCGATCCAGCGATTTGAATAATGTTCATTCAAATACTGAATGGCGCCTCTAAAAATATGTGGTGGTGCCCCATCATGAAGAAACCACAAATTCTGTCTCCGTTGTAATGGCATGTTGTCTAAGGTCTGTTCCAAAAGTTCTGGTAGGTTATTGGCTAGAAAGCTAAGGTTTCCTACTCCTGACAATTTTGGGGGTAACTCGAAAGGGCCAATTACCTGATCGTCAAGAATACTCGCCCAAATATTTATTTTAAAACGTTGTTTGAAATAACCTTCACGAATGGTATGAGGATTTTCTTGGGCCCACGTGTGAGTATTATGGAAATTTAATATCCCGTCTCGCGTAAAAGTACATTCGTCCGTCGCTAGAACGTTTTTAAAAAAATCCGGATTTTCAATGTTTTTGTGCAAAAATCACTGACAGAATGTTAGTCTGCGAGGATAGTCTTCTGGTTACAAGGCCTGCACTCGTTGTGCATGGTAGGGATAAAACAAATTTTCCCGTAGGATTCTATGGACTATGGTATGCGATAGTCCTACGCGGCGGCTTAATTCTCGAGTGCTGATATCTGCATTGATTTCCACGATATTTTAAAATTCGTTCCTCCTTCTCTACATTAACCTTCTTTCACGAGTGCGAATATTAGTGGGCTGAACACTTCCTGTATCTCGAAGTCTTTGGTACCCTTGCACAAATGTCCTTCTGACCAGGTGTACCCGTTTGCGAAATCTATCGCGATACATTTGAGCTGCAAGATTTGAATTCTGACGCGCTTCACCGTAAACTAACAACGACGTACGCGAACAAAAAAAAACGCCCGATCGATTGCGTGTTCGATAAGAGTGATGACGACGCGCTGTTGTCATGTGTGTTTTAAATATTTAATTTAATGAAAGTTACTTACTGTCTACAAATTTTGGCTTAGCTTAGAAAAACTTAATGCCATTTATTTGTTAATATACTCAATTTAAAAACGTTTTTAGATTATATTATAAAAATTAGTAAGATTGTGGTGATTGTGGTCGATATAACGCACTTAAAGTTCTAAACTATAAAGTCATTTAGACAAAAATCTATCGACTTTTGGACCATGGGTCATATGAACTTTTTGACTTGTTTTGACCCCCATTATTACTCATTTCAATAATGACTACCATAACGTTTACACCCTGCATTTATGTAATATCCGCCTAACCCTGGTATACACAAAACACTACAAGGATTTTAAGAAGAAAATCCGATAGTCCCCACCTGAGGACCAAAAATAGAATTGTGTTAACAGACTTACCACCTTGAGGTCCACCACCCCACGATCCACCAGCACTACCCTGCGCCCCCCATTGCCCGCCACTCTGGTTCGGCCATGCTGCACCCATTCCGTCTCCACCCATAGGAGCCCCGCCGCCGTATCCACCGCCCATTGCGCCACCCTGGTTCCATTCGCCTTGGCCTCCACGACCGCCCCAGGAGCCGCCTCCCATTTGGTCTCCGCCGCCCATGCCACCTTCGAAATAAGGATAATGCAAACGTGTTACGGCCGCATGACAAAATATGAAATTTGAGTTGAAATTTTTATATGGCAATTTGCAATTTGGCAAAAGCATGTGAAGCGAAGAAAATATCAAAATGAAAGTGTCACGATAACGGAAATTGTCTGATATACACTTCTGCTTTCTTTACCGTGACAAGCTGAGCATTCAGCAACCCAGCATACTGACACTTTGTCAGATGTGAATATTTATAAATATAAAAGGAACAATATTGACGTAAGGCGATATCAATGTAACATTCAGGAAGTCATAGATACTGCGCTGAAAGTCCCCTGGAAACAGTCTTATGGACTGGATTTCCCTATTTGTTTTGAAAAAGTATGTTTTCACTCTTGCTAAACCACTCCTATCTTTAGATTTCGGTTCCTTTCCCGACTACTGGAAAGAGAGTTTCTTAACACCAATTCATAAGTCTGGTCCCAAGAATGATGTACACAGCTATCGGGCAGTATGTCTCCAATCTGAAATTCCCAAGCTTTTAGATTACCTGGTATCAAAGAAACTATCATGGGACACTCGACATTTAAGTAATGACCAGCAGCATGGATTCACCGCAGGAAGATCAACTGCTACAGATTTAATCATTTATGAGAACTTCATGATAACTTCAAGTAGACTCCATCTACATGGAGTATAATACGAAAGCTTTCGACAGAGTAAATCACGATCTGCTTTTGACTAAATTAGAAAGCTTGGGAGTATCAAGCAGTCAACTATACTGGATTAGAAGCTTCCTGACAGGACGAACGCAGTGTATCAGATATGCCGATTCATTATCTAATGCCATCAATGTTTTTTCAGGTGCATCCCAAGACTCCCACAGGTCCAGTTTTATTTTATTTATTTGTTAACAATGTTGCAGAAGCTATATTAAATAGCAGTTATTTGATTTTTGCAGATGATCTCAAATTATTCAGGACAGTGAGAAATATCCACAATGTTGAAATCTTACAAAGAGATCTCGTAAATCTTACTCGGTGGTGTAGTACTAATAAGCAACATAAATGAATGCTCCCAGATATAAGCTTCACCCGTAGTTCAAATTCCTAATGTATAAAGTTGGAAACTGTGACCTCATGAGAACTGTTACAGTTAGGGGTTTAGGTATAACTTTTGATACAAAATTAACTTTCAAATCACACATTAAAGAAATCATATAAAAATATTGGGATACATTTTTAGATCTATCTATCTATATAATGTTAGGTCCTTATCTACTGGCTTCCAATTTCTAAAGGATATGGTTATAATTGAGAATTTTGATATTTTTGCTGCGAGTGAAACTTGGATTAACGGTGCGATAGATCCTTGATAACTATACCAGGTTACAGATTCGTACACGCTGACAGGTTAACTAGAGGTGGTGGTGTAGGCGTTTATTTCAAAAACAACATTAATTTTACCATAGCGCATCAATGTATTAGCTCAGATCTAGAGGAACTATGGATAAATCTGGAGTTGCAATCAATAGGTGTCATGTATAAGCCTCCTAGATGCAACATAACAAAAACATTCGAAATTCTAGAATCTTTTCTGGCAACTTTGCTTCCAGATTCAGATTCCGCTATATTATTAGGAGATTTAAATATAAACATGTTTGTTAATTCACCTGCTAACGATATGCTATTGTATTTGCAGGAATCCTTTGATTTAAAACATATTGTTAATGAGCCTACACGCATCACAGGGCTTTCGAACACTAATAGATTTGATTATCTGCTCTAAAGACCAAGACACTAGAGATGTTAGAGTTTTACGTCCCACAATATCTCGGATGACATTACATGCGAAATTACTTCTGCGCTAACCGTAACACAGTTAGACATTATACCTTCTGTGATTTAAAGCATTTTGACCAGCAAAAATTCCTTGAAATTTTTTATTTGGTTCCTTGGGATATACAACATGCAAGATGGGAACGAAATGGTATATTTTCTGAATGAAAACGTGAATAGACTTTTTGACGTTAGTGCACCAGTAAGGACTGTTAGGATATCAAAGCCTCCGGCACCAAGGTTAACATATAATATAAAAGAAATCATGAAATCGAGATACAAGGCGAACAATAAGTAGAAGCAGAATAAATCGGTAGGCAAGTGGGTTTTCTATAAAGAAATGCGCACTGAAGTTGCCAAGGCTATCAATAGGGAGAAAAAAGCCTATATGGAATTCATTCTGTCAAAAAAAGATTCTAAAGCTACCTGGAGCTGTCTTCGGAGACTTAGCATTATCAGCAGCAACTTGAAAGAGTTACCTGGCTATCTGCAGGACGTTAATGACATAAATAAGTATTTTTCTAGTTTAACTACCATTGTTAAGTCTGAGTTACAAATGAAACTGCTGGAAAAAATAACACCAGCCAGCAAGCCAGACAATTCACATTCTCCCAAATAACTTATGGAATTTTTCCGGAGTATCAAAAGTAATGCCTTGGGTGTTGACGGAATCAACCTAAATATGCTAACAATAATATTCGATTTGCTAATTGAAAATATAACTTTCATCATCAACTATGCAATTCCATCATCAAACTTACCCAACTGTTGGAAAAAAGCAAATGTTCTCCCCCTAGCTAAAATAAGTAACCCTACAGATATTTCACATCTGAGGCCGATAAATATACTACCAGCATTTTCCAAGTTATTAGAACTAGCCATGAAACATCAGGTATCTGACTACGTCTTCTCTAATGGTATCATTCCTGAAATCCAATCGGGTTTCAGGAAAAACCACAGCACAACAACAGTTTTGGCTAGCATCACGGATGACTTAATCAGATGTGTAGATCAAGGAAATTTAGCATGCTTGGTGTTACTTGATTATACAAAGGCTTTTGATACTCTGGAACCATCTATTCTTGTGAAAAAGCTTATATACTTTGGTTTTTCGGAATCTGCAATTAATTTTGTATTAAGTTATTTCACTGACAGGAGTCAGATGGTTGTGATTGGGTCAAGTATCTCAGTTAAAATAAGGGTACCACAGGGTTCCATTCTGGGACCATTATTGTTATCAATTTACATTTCTGACACACGAGTACGTTGAACAATGCAGTATTCATCACTATGCTGACGACACTCAATTGTACTTTGGCTTTGATATTAAAGATTTAAAAAATGCCGAACATTTGATTCTGATTTGAGGTTTGAAAAACACGTTAATCAACTGTGCCGAACATCATTCGGTGTCTTGAAGCAATTATTTCCTCAGTATGAATACTGGTCTCAAGCTGAAGTTGAGCGAAACCGTATTTATGGGCCTGCACTAAGATCGATTGAGATAAGGAGACTTCAGGCTATTCAAAATACGTGTCTCAGATTTGCTTGTGGAGTGAAAAAATTTGAGACAGTGTCACATAAATATCGTGAGCTGGGTGTTCAAAAAATAGAAGAGCTACAAAAATGCACGTATTGACCTTGACCCATAAGGTAATCACAACACAAGCCCCTCCATAACTATCAATCAAATTTATCAGATACTCACATGTAAATCAACTGAACACAAAGAATAAGCATATGTTGGTCATCCCGAGACATTCAACATCTCTATTTGAAAGGTCGTACATAAATATACTGCTATCAAGCTATACAACGCGTTGCCTACCGAGTTCCCTCACTTACTCTATAAGGAATTTCAAAAGAAGATTGAAGCATTTTATCTCTGATTTCATTGTCCAGTAATTAGACCATGGCCATGAATAGGGACTCGTTACAGGTTTTTTTTAACTTTTTTGTTTTCATTGGGATTAGGAAATTTACACAAATATTTGTTGGGTTAAGTTGAAAAACGCTTTTTAGCGACACTTCGCCTTTTTGTACTTTGTATAAATAAAGCCGGATTATTATTATTGTTAATAATATCTTAAGAGTACCTCTTATAAGCCTTTTTGTCACTGTTTTATTGACGTAAACAAAAATATATTGTACATGAACTTATGAAATGCATGTGTAGCATAAAAGAAACAAAAAGCATAAGAAATTCTTGTGATTATAGAGTCAAGTTTCATATCATGTCATACTGCCCTAAACACTGACACCGCACACTTATGAACTAAATATGGTTCTGGCCAGCCTGACCTAACATTTGAAACGATTGATAGAGATATTTTGTTAGGTAAATTGAAGGCATATGGTATAACAGGAAGTGTTTTAGATTGGTTTAGAAATTATTTGTCTAAAACGATGGAAGTTACAAAAGTTAATGACACTATTTCATCAAAAATTGAAAATACATTAGGTGTTCCACAGGGCAGTATCTTGGGACCACTTCTTTTTATTTTATACATAAATGATTTACCTGCCATAGTCAAAAAATGCAAAATTCAGATTTTCGCCGATGACACTATGATTTATATAAGTACTAAAAATATTCAGTCTGGTATCTCTTATATAAATGAAGACCTGAAGCTTGTCTCAAAATGGTTAGCATCTAACAGACTAAAATTAAATGCAAGTAAAACGAAAACCTTGTTGATCGGAAAAAAGCAATGTACAAATGTTCAACTGATTATTGATGGTGAAGATATTGAATTCGTAGACAATTTTAAATACCTGGGGCTTTTTGTTGACTCTCGATTAATTTTTGATATTCATTATGAAAAAGTTATAAATAAGATTAGTAGTAAAGTGGGATATTTATCGAGAGTTTCTGGATGTCTGAGTTCATATAGCAGAAAAATTATCTATAATACCATCATTCTTCCAAATTTCTTGTACTGTTCGACTATTCTATATTTAGCAAATAATTCCATTTTTGAAAGACTGCAAATTTTACAAAATAAGTGCATGAGGATAATACTAAATAAAGATAAATATACTCCAATTAGGCAAATGCTTAGCAAATTAAAATGGCTCAATGTAAAAAATGTTATCAAATATCTTGTAATGATATTCATTTATAAAGTAAAAAATAATATATTTCCATCAAGTCTAACTAATTTAACATCATCAAATGT